GTCTCTACTTTTGACTTGTTTCATCTCTAAATGCTTACATATTACTTCCACGATTATTTCTAGCGCGAGTAGTAGTTTGAAATCTAGTTGATGTGTCGCCGTAATCCGACTCCCACTGCTGGCGTGTTGTACATGCATGCTTTAGATTGTTGCTTCAGTACACCTGATCTGTTGGAATCACCCAATATGCTCCTTTGGGTTCAACCAAAACGTAAGCTGGTGGACATTATCGTTATCGTCTGCTGTTTGAAATAGAGTTTATTTTTGCTGCTCGAGATGGATCTTATTTTGCAGACTTTCGAGTTATTCTGAAAAAATGTTTTCTATCATGCACATAAACTTAATATGCTAAACTTTCGTTTGAATTATGAGCTCTTCTCTGTCTTTTTTTCAATAAGCAAGCCCTTACTAATGGTCCTATAATGTGCTTGTTGGCAGGCCAAAGTTACATCGGATAATGAGAAAGATTATAATTATTGTGTCTATGACTCTGATATCGCAACGGGGTTCGGTGTTGGGGCATTTTTCTTCCTCATGGCTAGTCAAGTGATCATAATGTTGGCAAGCAAATGTTTTTGCTGCGGCAAGGCCTCTCAAACCTGGAGGTTCAAGAGCTTGTGCAGTCCTCCTCTTTATTATTCTCTGTATGTTCCGTTTAATGTAATTGTTATAATCTAATTGGCATGATGAGAAATGCTTTTCTCCATTATCAATACTACTTACAACACAAGTTGGTGCTTGAAAGATTGATGGTTTTATTATCTTCTGCAAAAAATTGCTATGATTCAGGTTGTTCTTCCTGATTGCCGAGGCATGCTTGCTAGCTGGTTCAGTTAGGAATGCTTATCACACCAAATACAGGACGATCTTTGGTGGTGAGGATCCTCCTCCTGTGAGACAGTTAGGAAGGGAGTTTTTGCCGCAGGAGCAGCTTTCGTATTCTTCACTGGCATAGTTTTCCGAGTTCTACTACGTTTCCTTTTCTAACGCCGGAGCCAGCTTTGAACCTTATGGTGGAGAATCTGCTGTGGGCATGGGAGCCTACAAGTAAAGCTTGTTAAGCTGATAGGTGAACTACATCTTGTTGATAGAGAAGTCGTAGTGTGGACTGGAGTCTGTGATTGACTTGTATTTCCCCTTTCTACTTCTATTGATGTCACAGGAGTCTTAATTGAGTTTTTCATTCTTTCATGCCTGTCATTGCAAATATCTTAGATGCATGTATGTTTCTAGTGTGAGAGTCTGAGTTGAATTGCAATACATCGAAATCTCGAATTCAAGGTTTAAGTAAGGTGTAATACTTATTAAAGCGGCATTGGATTTTGGCAGCTTTGATCTTTTTACCAATTTCAAGGTGATAAACAACTGTCTCCTTAAAGGTGATCCTACTTCAAGAAGGGACGGCTACATGTTGCCGGCAGGGAACTGTGGGAGTCATTTCCTTAACTTGTCCGTGTAAACGGTAGTTTTTTAGAAGAGTTCTTGCAAAAGCGTTTGAATCCGCGTATGGATTGGGTGCTTTTAAGGGTTTTTTTTTTTTCAAAAAAATTTGTAGATGTATTCACAGAAAATTTCTGTTTGTATGGTATGTTTTGAGGTACTTTTAAAATTTTGACTTTTTTTGGAATATTTCTGAAATTTTAAAATTTATTCTCCTTCCCCCTTCTCCAACCTCGCACCACCTCTAGTCCTCCCTCGCCCGACACCATCTCACTGTCGCCGCCCCTCCCTCCCTCTCCTATCGGCCACCTTTCTCCTTCCTTTCTCTCCTTTCCCCTCGCCCCTCCCCTCTTCCCAAAAAAACCCCCTCTTTCTGCCTTTTTTCCTCTTTCCCTTTTCCTTCTTTCTCCTGGGGAGAAGGAGAAGTGGAGGAGCAAGGTCGGGGGTTTTTTCCCTATATGGACGAAGAAAATGATGGAGTTTTTCCTATATTTTTATTTGGTGCATTGAGGATGTATTGTGAGTAATTTGAAAGCATGTTATTTTAGGCTTGTATTTAGATATACAAAATTTGTTTTTTTTCCACCCTTAAAACTCCAGTCTCTATAGAGCTTTTGTTGGTTTACTTTATTGGCTAAAAGGAGTTTTTTTTTAAAAAAAAATAGTGTTGGGACAACGATGAATCCTAAAAATAGCATTCTCTATTTAAATGAAAAATATTAGTGTTAAAATATTGTTGTACAAAGAGGAATATGACTGGATTCGTTTTTGACTCTGACTTAAAAGATTTTCCACATACTGTAGTCTACGATGAGTGACGACAATGGCAAATCACGCCTCAATTAATATAATCCACAGGCCAAATTAATGGATTGAACTTTACTTCTCTGCATCAGAATTTGAGGGACAAAAAGAATTATTAACCATTAAGCGTGCTGGTGGCATCAAATCTGCACGCCTGGTCGCTGGTTTGACTTTGTGGCCATCATTAAGTTCAGTGTTTTGACTTTTCAAAATACCTATTTTATTTGCAGTATATCTCTAATGACGATTAATTCTCGTCCACGGGGCCCGATTTGGTTAAAAAGGGGTTGTTTAAGTGGATCAACACTAGATTGAGCTTCTTTCCACAAATGGCATGCTGCATAATTCTGCTTAAACATTGAAATCCACATTAACTTTGCTTAAATAATTATGTGCCCTAATATTGAAATTGATGGCCAGAGAAGTTTAAGCAAAATTTAGATGGTGGATGAAATTTATTTGAGTAACAAAAATTTGTTATTATTTATATTAAGTATAATTTTTTGCGTTACAACACACTACACTTTATACGATACAGATTACTGTTATATGATGATATACTTGACACCGAAGATTGCAAAAGCAAAGGGTCCTCCTCTCATCCTCTACTCCATTTTGCCCCCAAACGAAACCGGCAGCTGCATGCCTCCTTCGTCATTTCACCATTTCTATCATCAATGGTTGAGTGCTCCATTGAATCCTGATTCCTCGACTTCGCAATCTACCACCTGGGCAGGTTTACTGTCACTGGGCTAGTGAAGTAGACTCTATGTCAAAAGTAATGAACGACTGGTGATTTATATGAACATAATCTAAAATTATTTATGAATTTTCAGACCGTTGTAACTTTAGTAATCAAGTTCAAATAAATAGGACCCGATTAAGCTATTGTTACTCAAAAAAATAAAAAATAAAAAAAGGGTAAAATTTGGTGTTGAATGATGAATTGGCAGTTTAGCATACATGCCGAGTAAGATAATTTGTGAGATTTGGTGCTGATTAATCTTTTGTATGCTGAGGAGCATGCCGGTTGTTATTCCTTGAAAAACCAACTTGTCTTAGGTTTGAGCATGCCCGGTGTACACGAGCAAAGCAGACGTCGTCAATGGCTTGATATACAACTAACTTGTCTTAGGTTTATGCACGGCGGCAGTTGGGTGAAAAGGGCACGAAGCTGGGTGGAATGTTAAAAAAAAAAAATTTTTTTTTTTTTAAATGTCAAGGCCATCTAACTTCTTCTCACTCTCAGTATTAAATTAAAGGATCGAATGTCCCAATGGCCCTCAAATTGTAATGAAATTTAATTTTTGGCCCTCCAATTATTAACTAAGAAGTTTTAGTCTTGTAATTAATTAAAAAAAATATAACCCTAACAGTTCCATCAATTTGAGTGTTATATCTAATAGAAATAGCACGATGTGTACGTGTTCCAGTAGCCATCTAACTATTAACTGATAAATTTTAACCCTTCAACTAATTAAAATACATAATCCTAGTTTTTTCTATCAACTTGTGTCGTTGTATCTAATAGAAACATCACTATCAAGATGAAAACGTGCTCGGTTATTCCCTTATAGCGCATGTGGAGACGTTTCTATTCGACATGACAACTCAAACTAACGGAAAAGTTAGGATTATGTTTTAATTCGTTGGAAGGTTAAACTTATAAGTTAATAGTTAGAGGACCAAAAGTTGAACTTTTTAATAGTTTGAGAACCACTAGAGAATCATGAATTATGTAGTTGAAGTTGATGGAAGGGCTAAAATTATACGTTTTAATTAGTTGAGGGCAAAAATTTATCAGTCAATAATTGAAGGCCAAAATTAAAATTTGTAATAGTTTGAGGGCCACCAGAAATTTTGGCCTAAATTAAAGAATAAGCATCTGTCATGCATCTATTATGGCGCAACGGATCTTCTGTCCCATACCCTATGTCACTTTCTGTCCCACTTTTTATTATATTGCTATCTCTCCTTCATAAACATCATGTTTTAATTCGTTTTTGTTTCCTTAAGATCCAATAACTATTAATTCAGTAATACACAAAATTTAACAAACTCAAAAAATCAAAATGCATAAAAAAATGAGATTTTTTATGAATTTTCTGCTGTATTTTTATTTTTCTATTATATATTACTTTTTTGAAGCTGTTGTATTTCTTTATTACTGAATTAATAGTTATTGGATTTTAAGGAAACAAAAAAGAACTAAAACATGATGTTTATGAAGGAGAAATAGCAATATAATAAAAAGTAGGATAGAGTGTGGCACAGGATGTAGACAGAAGATCCGTTGTGCTATTATGGCCGTATGCTACTATTCTTTTAGCCCCTTGGAAGAGCATAAAGTTTACAAGCATGTCAAGACTGGCTCGTCTAGAACTGTAAGAGTCAGTTAAGTTCCTGATGGCTTGCACTGAGGACAGTTGTGGGAAGCGTTAGCTTCTATTCCAGTGGCGGAAAGATTTGCACAAGTTTGAAAAACAGCGCCATGAGGTGGGTGAGAAAAATCACAATCCACCACTTATAAGGACATTGTCTTTCCCTGCAAGCAAAGTATATCATATCTCAAAGTCTGCGCCCCTTGAACTCTTGACTCTCATGTAAGGCTTACACACAATGCTTCTGTTTCTCATCTTTCGTCATGATGCTCGAGTCAATTGTGATCAGGCCTTTGTTCACATTCCAGACTTCCAGGCCTTTGCTCTTGAGTCAATTTTGATGCTGCACTGCACCCTGGAAATAGGTTATAATTAATGGAAGACGCCAGCTTGCCTGAGGGGGATCATTATGCAGATGATCGAGATAATCTGAATTTCAGCAAAAGAGAAGGAACATGCGAAAGAAGTTCACCAAAAGACAGTTACATTGGACAGGCCTCTCAAGAAGATCCGAAGCCCCGCAGCAATTTCCAATCATCATCAAACATACCCAAGAACACCCATGCGTTCTCCATCTTCAAGGTTTGTTTTCCCTTTCGCTCTAGACCATGAACCTCAAACAATTACAAGATCTAGACAAATAGGAGTTACAACTCAATCTCCAGCTGGGTTTCATTCAACATCATCGATACCATCCGAGAAGCACCATATGATTTCTTTTGGACCTGAACATAATCATCAGGAGCTTCTTCAGGACTGGAAAGACACCCTAGCTTTGAGTCCTGGAGGAAGATCAGCTGCAACAGTGATGATGAATAGATTAGGACTTGTTCTTCCCCATAACCTTTCTGTTTCGCCCCCTAAAATTTACAGGGGCGTTAGGCAACGGCACTGGGGAAATGGGTTGCGGAGATTCGTCTCCCTCGAAACAGGAAGCGTTTGTGGTTAGGCACATTCGATACCGCAGAAGAAGCTGCTTTGGCTTATGATCGCGAAGCCTTCAGGTTGAGAGGAGAGAATGCGAGACTCAATTTTCCTCATCTTTTCCGTGGCAGCGAAGCAGCATGCCAGATGGAGGCACAAGAAGTCTCAGGTACAAGCTCCCTATCTTCATCTAGCATCGCCAATGAGACCTCTAAACTCAACAAGTTCCAAATGCCCAATAAACAGGGAGTTGTAGTTCCTTCAACCAATGGAAACAAAACTAGCATAATCACGGAGTACACTGAAAAGGGCTTTGAGTACAAAAGCAGTTTTCATGAATCAAGATCAGAGGATATTATTCTCGCTGCTGATAATCAGGCAGGTAGAATGAGTATTCCACCAGAACAAGGTCTTCAGGGTTTTTCTGATCCAATTATGTGGGGGAGGAGCATGACAGAAGTTTTGACCACTACAATCCAGGGTAGTAGTAGTGGTTTTCCCATTCCAAGTAGTCCAATGTGGGAAAACATTACCATGGCAGATTTGCTGCAACAATCTGATGGATATTGCTTGACTGAAAATTCATGCGCCGTTCTTGATGTTCAAATGCCTTCAATCCCTTAAACAAAGGGTAGGTCAGAAAGGCACGAGTTTTTACCATCGGAGAATACCGTCATAATAGGCATGCACGAAAATCTTAATTCTTAACCAAGTACAGACACACACACACACAATCCTAGTCTGGTTCTTGAATCCCGATACGTTATATTCAATGTAGTCTCTCGATATATTTGGCTGAATTTGTTTCCCATTAATTTTCCTGAAGTGATTGTTTACATGCTCTTTTTGATGTAGTGGGAGTAATTCTTTTTCTTAGCCCACAATCAACTTCCTGCATCCAGATTTTGCTTCACGTTGGCTTCTTTTCCAAGACGATCCATTAATTAGTTACACAATCGTTTTAGTCATTCCTTGCATACGCTGTTGCATCAGAAAGACGAATGTGATCTTTGTACTTTGTAGACTTGCACTCTTCTGGCTCTCAAAAGTAGGCTGTCCCTCGGCCTCAGCATGAATTTCCACTTTTGATCTGACAGGTAAACTAACCTTTTCTCAACCAGACATATAGCAAATTGAGCTATAATGCTTATCGAATTGAAGCACGCACGGAGTTGGTGGCATGGACCACGGTTCCCTAGCTCCTCTATGTGACTTTAAACTTATTATTCTACAAACATGCATATGATGGTTGTTGTTTGGATTGCATCTTTTCTTCTGGATTGGTTTTTTTTTTCCTTTGTGGGCGAGGCGGTGGAACTACATTTATTTTTTTTTTTTTGACATATTAAGTTTGAGAGCTTCGCATGGGAAGGACAGAACTGGGGAGGGGCAGGAAGGGCCACTGCAACCCAAAGTTCTTGATATCCAGATTTTCTTTCTTTGAGATATTTAATTTTTTTTTTATGTATTTTGAACTATTTCTCCCTCTCCCTAAAAAAAATTGGATTTATTATAAAGTTTATATGCACATGTACTCAAATTAAAATTTTTGGCTCCGTCCCAACGCATGCCTAACCATCGCAGAGTTTTCTAAACTAAATAGTCAGTCATTACTCATTAAGCCTAATTGATGATTAGGTGTTAGTGATGTTATAGAATTACAGTATAAACGTTAACGTTGTAACTGCACGAAGATCAACTGCATATTCTTCTACCTTAACAGAAATAAACATTTTTCGCCGTGGATCGTCGGAGATGGATATGCATGTAATATAGCTAACGTGTTTCTGAAAGAGTTACTGAGCTTAAAAGAAATAACTGAGCTTTCAATTTAGTCTTCTAAATTCGAAGGTCGGAGTCAGCTTACACTGTAGTGTAGCGCCGCCTATCTTATCTTCTAAGCGATACCGTTGAATTCATCGCCCCAGGGTTAGAATAAACTGAATAACTGAACCAGTAATCGGGGAGAGGGTTGAGTTGGTCGGAGAAATAGTAAATAGGAAATTCTAAATTTAAGATTTTTTATTTATTAAAAAAGTAATTGAACCGCAAATTACAAAAACATTACCAAAGTACAAGTTTAGAAAAAAAAAATACTACTATTATATAATATTGTTCAAGGTTTGAAATTCTTTAGGAGGAAAGGTTCGAAATAAGAATGAGGAGTGGCTCAAATATTCTTGTAGTGTGAGGGTGAAAAATCAGTGGAAGTCAAACTCCGCCATTCTTCTTAGAGTTGTGGACGAAGAAAGATTATACTCCCTCCGTCCCGTTTTGTTAGTTTTGGTTTTTTTTTTCACACAGATTAAGAAAGTGTAATTAATTTTTGAAAATATAAATTTAGATTAATAATTTCCTAAAATACCCTTATGCTAATCAATGCAGTCAATGTATTGGAAAAGTTCAATGTATTCAATGTAGTGAGTTAGTATTTAATAACAATGTATTAATAACAAGATATTTAATAAGGGTATTTTAGACAATTTGAAAGATTACTACACTTCTTAATGGGAAAGTGGACTACAATTTGGGACGGACGAAAAGGAAAACAAGACTAACAAAGTGGGACGGAGGGAGTATAAGGGAAAAGTTGACCGTTGGCTTCCCAATTCCTACCTTGGACTTTTCCTTAGGTGTTTATTGGTTTTACTGTCTGAGGCATTAGGTTTTGCACAACATAGCGAGGATGTGAAGGGAGACAGTGGAACACAAGTAGTCTAGCACATTGAGACCCAAATCCCCGTTAGGCCCAGAAACAAAACTGTTAGCTGGTACGACGGGAAATACGAGGATTGAGCTATATTGAGTCACTAAAAATATGGGGCACCCAAAACCTTGAGAGTGCAACATAAAATTTCTCTCGGCCCATTGTTAAGCCTTTTTTAAAAAAAAAAATTTTTTTTTTTACGCCTAACCTTGGATTTGTGCCCGACCAACCTCCCTCGAAAATACCATCATATTTTGCATTTAAACTACAAAATCGAAGTTTGAGCTAAAAAAAAAACTACAAAATTGAAGTTGAGTACAAGGAGGGGGCTTGACACAGATCAGGCATATGGGTAGACTTTTTCACAAGCGGTTTGGTCTTATATCATGTTTCAGAAGCTGAGCAGCTGTGAAAGTTAAACTCTAAGATGCTTAGTAGTACTTGAAGAAACAGTAGTGTTATACCTGAATCTTATACTAAATCTATAATTATTAGTATGTTACTGACGACACGCTGTCTCTGCCATATATATATAATTTATGATATATCATGTTGCCATGTTTCTGCCAAAACGTTCCATTGATTGGCCTAATCTCAACTGGCTTTTCATTGATCTATCATATTCTGATATTAATGTTTAATAAAACCCAAAGTTAGTGCAATGCACATGCATGCCCTCTAGTCGTTGTTGGTTGTGGAGCAGTAGTACGTAGTATCTCAAGCATGTCTGCCTTCACCAATGACCTTTCTTTTTCCTTTTATCAAATCTGCTAAATACATGCATCAAGGAAGTGTTCTCGCATGTATGCTGCTTTTCATTGGAGGTTGGTACGAGATTGCCATATACAATTTGGTCTCACAACTTTCTTGACCATCTAATTGTGATCTAAGCAATGATACTATTCTGTAATCTAAAGCTTATCTTGTTGATCGTTCCTTTGATGTTCTCTCTTGGGTTGTTTTTTATTTAGATTTTTGCCAAAAATCATTCCTTTTGGTTTTGGGTTGGGGCCACATTTAAATTAAAACGTTGGAGAAATGATTCTTTCTGACATTAACGTCTTGAAATTCTTTTTAAATTTATTGCTCCAAGCTATGCATGTAAAAGATTAATGTTGTTCTAAGGGTGGGTCGTTCGAAAAAAGGAAAAAGAAAATTGGAGTGGCATCGTGTTTTCTTTTTTTTTTTTTTTTTTGTCATTCGTCACTTATGGGAGAGGCCCATAAGGGGGAGTCGACGAGAACTGAACCATCTTCGGATCAGACGAGCACCCTTATGAATTTGAAAAAACTGTATAAATGAGTAAATGACAGGAGACAAGAGGTTTGAATCCTTGATCTCCCACCCCACCACCAAGACTTAAAAGTCTCCGGTGGGGGCTATTCTCAACGTCTGAAACACACCTGCGATCGGGAAGAGCTTAATTAAATCGCATAATTGTCACTTGCCATTCCTCAAGCAGCTGTGATTGGTGATATGATGCGCCAAAATCAAAAGCCATCTAATCAAAGATAAAAGCATAAAATGGAGTCCTTTTGAACGTGTGGTCTCAAATCAAATGTTGATGTCTACCCATTAATTATAGTTGAATTGGTAATAAGCTTTATAAATATATAAGAACGAACTTATATTCTATGGATTCATTAATCGGACCACTGATGATTGAGGAAGTCAGGTTGTAACTTTTGATTAACAATAAAATAGTAAAACATCATAGTCTTAATGGCATCGGTAAAAACTACTCCAAATAGTAGTAAAATCTAGACCACTAAATTAAGCCTCAACTTGAGTCTCTCTCACATCTTTGCATTGCTGCTGATTAAGATTCCTTTCAAGGGAATCAGGCCGCGCTGTCTGTCTGGCACTATGCAATGTACTACTAATGATGGTAGCATTTTCCACCAGTTTACTTGCGTGATAAATCAGAAAATAATGGTGCAATTATAATAATGCAAGGCGAAGCAAAACCACACAAACTTGGTTAATTACCAGTGTATGATTTATGTGGTTAATGACAGTGCTTGGCTGTGGCATCTTCCAATTCATGGATCTCGTGCAATCGTCCACCAAATATCTCATCATTTGGTCCTTTCAGTATTCCAAAATCCCATCCATGGAGCCCAAATGTGGTGGGGTTACAAAATACTTGAATGGAATCCCAAGCTATAATTGTGTACAACCCGCATTTCGTTTTCAGGCCGATTCACAGAGTCCACTTAGATGAGGGTGTTAAAAAAAAAAACTGTTAATTTTTTTTTCAAACTTTTACTGAACATTCCTTGATGATTTTAAGTTCATTTTGAGTACATTTTGTGATTTTTGTTTTTTTTGGTGCTTGAACTTGAACACACACACAAAAGGAAGGTACAATCATGATTATTAAAGTTTTAAATTTACCATTCACTCCCTGAATATACGTTTTCCGGTGCCGATGTTAACGAAATTGGTGGCATACGTACTTGCTCGAAAACTCATAAATAAATTCTGGGTCTGGGAGACAAATTAGTGTGTACTAATCTGAGAAATAACATTTATTATTATTAACAAAGAAAAATAATTGAGATGGCTCGTGGATTGGTCCTTCTTTATATGCATATTGCCAGAATAATTAACGCTGACAAGTACAACATGAAGTTTCCAATGGAGAGCTGTGAAGAAAGGAGCAACAAAACAAATACTGTAGAATATTATTATCGCTGCCAATTATGATGATTAGTGATCAGCATGTGCGCCAACGCTGTGTTTAGATGATTAGATAAGAGGATGAGCGCCAGCAGCCACCGTCCTTCCTTATTAATCCTTTTCTGTTGAACCTCTTCACCATTATACCGTCTGCCCCGCGTTCCTGCTGTCTGTTTACAGTGGTACACTTGCAGACGAGCTAGGCCGTTCTGTCCTTTTTAAAATGCCCACGATC